ATGAGAGAGTAGAAACATTGAAGCATATAAAAAAATTAAAAATAAAGCATCATCAAATATAAATACAAGCTTTTAGTTTTCAATACTTAGATTAGTATTAAAACCACACCACAATACTTTTTTATTTTATATTATAAGCAATTTAACAATTTATGTCAATGTCGATTTACCAGCTTACACAGCTCTCCTACCATAAATCATAAAATTGACCTAAAATCCATATTGAATAACCTGAATCCTACAACTATTCCCAGTTTATTTTATTTTCTAAGAAATTCTATCAATGCATCTCCCTACACTATATGAAAATAAAATCTTGATTCTAAAATATTAACTACTTCTTTGAATCGGGTTAGAACCATGCAAGCTAGAAATATAATATAAAATTATGCCACTCGTGAATATAAAAAGCTAAATAAAAAGCAGAAAATATTTACATTCTTCTGCGCTGTGTGAAACTTAGAAATATATTTCAAATAATTTATATTTATTCATAACAAAAAAGTTTTACAAAAAAAAATTAATATTCGAAAAGTTCAATTTTAAGAAGAAGGAATTAAGAGGTATAAAAATATAAAACATTTATTTGATTCCTGAAATGATCAATACTACATCCAATGAATGAAAAAATAAACAAGAGGAAATACCCAAGATTAAAATTCAAATGTTTAACAAATAGAAATAAAAAATTAATTTTTATGTTAATTAGATTCTTATAACTTGTACTGATTATTGTAAAATAGTGAGAAAGCTTTAATTATTAATTCATTGGAAAAAAGGAATATGAAAAATCGTAAACACTTCTTTTTGCCTCGCAAAGTAATATAAATTTTTTAATTATGCAAAAATTTAATGTTTTAATATAAAAAAAAGAAACATGTAAAATTAAAAATAATGTATTTTTGAATTTATGTCATAATCTAATTTTATGTAATATAAAATCGAAAATAAATTTTAATATGGTATTATTTTTAAAAACTTACAGTTACACAAAAAATTAGAAAATTCAAAGGAAATAATAACTAATTAATATGTTTAAGATGTTCTCATTATATAGCAAATTTTGATGGAGTCACATTTCGACGGGATTGGATTTTTGAATAGAGAAGTTTTTGTCAGGTGACAAGGGAAAACACACGGACAAGTGAAATTGAATATGATCTATATTTTTTTAATTATTCTTTCGTAAGCACTGTTTTTAACTACAGGAGAAAATAAAAATTTTGTGGAAAAGGGGGGGGGGAGATTTATGTGCCATCGACCTTGGGGAGAATGGGCAACCCTGGACACTAAAACATGATTATTTAAACATTAAAAGTTTGTAAATATTAAAAAATTACAATGTTTTATTTTTATTTTAAATGCCAACATAATTATTTGAAAATAGAAAAATAAGATATACATTTCTTCTCATAAAATGAATTAAAATTTTAAACATAATTATTTTTATAAAAAATACGATTATTAAAAAAATTATACTAATTATTTGGAGTGGAAAATAATGAAAATTAAATTGTGGCAGTAAGCAGATATGTGTCGTATTTTCTTCGACTTCTTTTAACAACTTCAAATCAATCAGTTAGTTTACATGCCTTTCGGTTTAACTAAATATGCAAAAACAGTCGATTGAAGCTCATATTTCAAAATTAAATAACTCAATCACCACTAATTCCAAAGTGCACCTTGATTAATAGAAAAAAAAAATTTCTCACCACAGTAAAAACAAAACTAACCTCATTCGTACTAATTGTATTCGCATCGACTGGCGTAGGGCTGTTTTGAAATAAAAGAAAAAATTTATTTAATAAGTTCAGTATTTGTAATCATGCATCTTAAAAAAAATGCGATTTTTTTTCCACTGTTCTGGAAACCTTAAGAGATTTTATTATTTTTATAAGTAGAATTGCAGTTTTATAATTATATTTTTAGAAATAAATATATTTTGAAACAATATATAGAAATTTTATTGAAAAGCTAATAAATGCTGATAAAAATTAATTAAATGTTGTAATACATCTATAACTGAAATTGAAATATTTTAAATATAAATACACTCCACAGAAAGAAAAAAAAAAAATTCTAACACAATATTCGTTCATTGTAATTTTTTTATTTAGTCTATTTTGTGCTCAAATTGTTCCAAAACACTCATGGGATGTAACCAAATAATTTGAGCCAGGGATTGAAACTTTATTAAAAAGTTCCATTTTAACAGTTTCTGTGAAAACATTATAGGAAAAAAGTCCAAAGGAATGTTTAGTAATAAAGTTCCAGGTTTATGAGAAAAGTTTAACTCATATTTATTCAAGTTCTTAAAAAATGTTTTGTTAAATGAAAAATAAACAGTGATTGGGCTTCGATTACACATTATTCTAATGTGTCGTTTGTTTCAGTAGCTAAGAATAAAAGTAATTACTTAAATTGAATTTTTAGTGAAATCGACAGAACTTTTATATATATTTTTAAAAAAATAGAAGTTCTATAAAAACTTTAGTTGAAAAGTTTCAAGGAAAAAGAAGTGAAAAACTATTAACAATAAAAGTTTTGATGATATCAAAACTATTTAAATATAAAAAATAATTACATAATTATAATAACATTTTAAGCCCTGACTTAAACCATCAAATTTGAAAATTGTTTTACATATTTACTGAAAAAACCTTTATATACATATAACCAGCCAAGCGGAATATATTAACCTCCTTTTGGTTTTGTCATAGTCAGGTAAAAACATATATTATATTCTAGTTAAAACTTTACACTTAAATAGAAATGATAAGATTAGAGAGTGTCTGTTTGGAACAAAGTCCTAAACTATAAGGTATACTAGTGGGATACAAAAGAACATTCAGATGTTTATAAGTTCTTTATAAAATATTAGGCCAAATGTACACAGTTTTTACATACTGTATTATTTATTCGACGTTTCGGCTTCAGGAGCCATTTTCAAGATCCTGCCAACTAATTTTAATTCAGTTGTCATAGTTCAAAATACATCCTTATTAGACACATATTAATTTAACAACTATCAGTTATATAAATAGCCCAAATTCTCCATTACCTCCACCCCACTCCTTTTTAAAATAAATGCAGTCCTGTATGAATACATTAGTGAGGAGGAACATTTTTTAATATCGTCAGCGAAAGAGGTATATAAATTGAGAACAAATAATATTTTTAAAAAAATTATTTTTTTTAACATTCTATTTTAATTAATTATTTATTTATTACAACTTTTTTAGAAGTGAAAAAACGACATTCTATGAAATAAAAGAATGACTAAAAGACGAATTATATTGTAATGATAGATTTTAGAAATTTTATGAAGCGGCGCATGGTAGGTAGATGATAAAAATTTTTATAAAATAGAATCGAGGCCTCTCGTTTGGGTCTCGCGGAATGATTCCTAAAAGAACAGGAAGCTTCTTCGAGGAACTAGGTGTTGATTTCGGGGAGCTTGCAGTGTTGGCCGAGGGTATTATTCCGGACTCCCTTGGGATCATACATCATCACATATATGGTAATTAGGGGTTGATTATCGTTATTTATTTATTTATTCAATTTTAAATTATTTAAGTGACCATATCTTTTTGTCTAAGTTCATAGGACTATGTTACTTGCTGTGTGTGCGTTCTAATTTTCTGGTGTTAAAACTTTGGCATTCGAATACTATATATATATATATATATATTTTTTTTTTTTTTAGCCCTATAAATTGTCTTGTATCGGGTTCACAGAAATATGTATATATAATATATTGTATAATTGTAGTTGTATGTATTAGTATATTATAGTATGGATATTGTTTATGCTAGGTAATATGAAAAGGAATTTGTATATAATTTGTATGTCCAAAAAAAAAGGATTGAGTGTATGAGTATTCAGTGTATCGAGCAACCCTATATAGTAGGGCAGCACTACTTTAAATATTAAAGTATTTCTCTCTCTAGTTTGCAGGATCTTGAAAATGGCTCCTGAAGCTGAAAGGTCGAATAAATAATACAGGATATAAAAACTGTGTACATTTGGTGACCTTTGGCCTAATATTTTTTGTTTAAAAAAATTATGAGAAAATGGCACCAAACCTGAATGACAAGACTAGAAAATTCAAATGTTTAATTTTTGTGGGAACAGATAAAAAATCTTTTTTCGAACTGTCAGGAAAAAGTCATCAGAGTTTCTGTTAATTATTTATTTTACTGCTGAGTATATTTATACTTATAAGTATATAAATAAGATTGTATTGTAATGGAAACAACTAAAGGAAGAACCTTCGGGTGCTTGTGTTAATTTCAAGGAAAATAATATATCAGCAAATTTTTTTAGTTGTTTCTTTATGGTTGGGAATTTACATCAGCCCGTCCAGTCTAATCCATTTTTCTGGAGTTTTCCAGGTTCCAGCTAGACAAGGTTGATGAGACAAGGTTACATATGATGGGGCGATGTCCCCTGTATGAACCCAACTTTAGGGAAAAACATGCTATTAATTCCCTTTAAAGCAGCACATTAGCACTGAAGGGTTCTTCCTTAAATTATTTACCAATATAAAACAATTTTCAAAGTAATCAGAATATTTTTATTTCAGATATACAATATGTTATTTTATTATTTTTTAGAAATAAGCAATATAAAAAGAAAATATATGGTATATAATTTTTTTAATAAACTTTATTGGTGCTAAATAGGCAGGACGCAGTCATTTTAAAGGTTTTTATTGGTGCCGACGTTTCCATCCAAACATGAGGGGCGTCATCAGGGCGTGTTTCGAGTACTGAAGGTATTCAAGTCACTTGAATACCTTAAATGCTTGAAACATCCTGATGATGACCCACATGTTGCAATTGAAATGTCAGCACCAATAAAAACCTTTAAAATAACTGCATCCTGACTATTTATCACCCATCATATGTAGAACAATCGATTAACTTCCTCAATAATAAACTATCTATGTATTATAAAAAAAATTTTATAGAGCATGTATATAAAAATAAATAATATACCTCGCTAATTGTATTCTCTCCCTTTCTCTTCTTCGCTCTTCCTTGAGTCGAGTGAATTCATCCTCATCACCAGCATTACTGCTCGTCATACTCAATGTATCGCCCGTAATACAGGCAGAGCTAGGCACAGATTGCACAGACGCCCCTCTGCTTGCAGGTGGATTTGTGGAGTTCACCGGAACGGAAGAAGTTATTCCGACTGAATGCCTCCATTGAGGTACAGGTATAGGTTCTGAATTTTCAAATAGAGATCGAGCTGTTGGTCGAACCTAAAAAACAATATATAATAAATAACAGGGTTATAAAGTGATTTTTGAAGTTTCATTGGTAAAACTTCTTTTCATGGAATGTGCTAATAAAATAAAATTTAATTTTTTTTATTCGATAGATGAGCATAAAAAAGCAGAGTTCAAAAAAGCAAGTCTTATTCACCTCAGGTTTCTTGGAAGCCATCGAGGTAATTGTAGCTTGTTCATCAACTTCTTCAATAACTTGATTTGCGATTCGCATACTTCCACCACCTCCACCAAAGAATTTCCCTGTAAGACTAGTTTGACTTTGACTTTCTGCAAGTCTCGATCCAGCTAAAATAAAAATATGCAATTAGAAAAAAGATAATCAAGATAAACATCTTTTATTATACAATACAGGATAGCATAAAAATAAGTCACTTAAAGAAAAAAAAAACTTTGAAGATTTCACAATGAAAAATTATATGGTTTAACTAATTTTGTGAGAAAAAAAATGTATGCACAAAAAAAAAAAACATAACATAATGGCTCTGAAGTGATGCTGGCAGTTTTCAAACATAATGTAGTTTATTATAAATGATTTTATAGAGTTATTCTATTCAGCTTTAAACAAAATTATAATCTTAGTGGAATGTATGCATATTTTCTAATGTTCAATGAAAACTACCAAGCAGTACATTTCAAAAATGATCCATAAAAATTTGTAACTTTTGACCATCAGAAAACTTTTGAGATTATCAATATAGAGGATTTCCATTCTTACGTGGTGGATAGCTACCATCAACTGTAGCAGGAGTGTTTTCTCTACTGAATATCCTCTTAAGGGTTGATGTCACAGAATTGACCCTGGGTAAAGAGCCCATATTATTCATGGATGTCGTCGAACCAGCAGAAGTTGTTCTTGGTCGATGCATTGAGAGCCGAGAAGAACTACGTCCCTCGGCAGAAAAATGAATGCCACTTTGGTTATCGTCAGCCTGAAATTTTAAGATTAATAAATATGTAATCATGATAAAATATATTAGGAACAAAATATAAGGAGTAACACCTAACTAAAATATTAACAAAAATAAACATTCATAACCGATTGTAAAAGCACACAGATATAATGAGATGACCAAATAAGTATCAATAGATGAATACCTTCTAGCCAAATCATCATATTATATTTTTGTACACAAATAGAGACTAAGTACTTAGTTTTACTTTTTTTATTTATTTTTTACAATATACCTATGTGCGTCGAATATGTAAGTATTTAAGTAAATTAAAAAAAAAATAAATAAAAACTAAGGAGTATGCTTTAGACCACATGATAGAAGTGAAAACATTGACAAGGCGAGATTGATATTATGAAATATAAATTACAAATAATAGCTCATTATGAAGAGGATGAAACGCTGAGTATTTCCCTCACTTAAAGTATACAGGTCTGATTTTCAGTTTGTGAGATATTTTAATCCATATCTTCAATGAAACTCGTTATCATTTGGTTTTCGACAATATTTTTTCTCTTTTCTCTCTCTTACACGTTGTCGCGGTAAGATACAATTTTGAATAATAGCTCATTTCAAAGAGGATGAAATGATGAACATTTCCCTGGCTAACAATATGCAGGTCCGATTTTTAGTTTTTGAGATATTTTAATCCATATGCAAAAACATTTCAATTAGTCGACTTCAGCTGATTTTATCCGAACGTTACACATCGGAGATCTGGCGGCTCAATCTAATTCACTCTCCACAAAAAAAGTGAAAAATGCGCCTAAAGAAGTTTTCACATCAATAATCTTTCCCTGACACAACAAAATTATGTTAATTTGAATTAAACAAATAAAATATTAAAGTATGCAAAATAACTAAGGTAAGAGTACCATGCCTAGATCATCAATCTTTATTGTCGAAGGATTGGCGTTGCTCAAATTGGCAAACTGCACAGCAATATTCGCAGTCGATGGTTGAGGGATCTTCTCTTTGAACGGCTCAGAGGCTAGGGTATGAGGCAGTTCAGTCGGGAAAACCTCATCCCAATATTGGTCTTTAATGAGCTCTGGATGTTCGTGATGCATTTCGTCAACGATCAGATAAGATACCTGAAATATACAAAAGAACAAACTTTTTAATTATATCACTAAACACAAATATAATTAAATTTGAATTAAAACTACTATTATTTTCAACCATTGACAGACCCCAAAGAGAAGGAGGGTGGTCATGTCTGCTCTAATTGAAAAATAAAATTTTGGTTTTGGGAATAATTTTATATTCTATTCTCCACATTTTCATCCTAAGCAAAACAAGATCTCCTATACAAAGAAATTAGTAGTTATTTTACACGTATATATAGCTGCTACAGCAGTATTTTTATAAAATAGGAGTATTTTTATGGAGGGATTAAAATTATGTTTAAGCAATAATTTTTCAAATTTAATAACAATTATTCCAAACAGGCAAACAGTCTAATAATGGGAAGTAGGTTGTCAGTATTATTAAATGGTTATTTTTAAAATAAAATGTTAACGGAACAAATTAATAAAATAGAAGATAATCCAATTATGAAATTAAAAATAATTTTATTCTGGGACTTAACACCCCTTAGAATAATAGTAGAATTCAAAAAATATTTACATTAGTCTGGAATGTAGATATAATACAAATATATACAAAAAATACTAAGGAAAATGTAAATATATACAAGAAATACCACAGAAAAATACAAATATATACAAGAAATACTGAGAGAGAGAAAAAAAGTGAATAAATAAAAATAAAATGGTTCCTATCAATTAACTGCAGGTGATCAACATAATAATACAACCCAAAAATTTGTAGTAGGTCGTGGAATAGGAGTTGTTTGAAGGAGGTAGGCATGAATAACACAGGATTTGCTGAAGGAAGTGGTTTCATGGGAAGGGATATATAAATCTATAGATTGAGATCTGGCGTTTAGAGAGTGCTTAGAGAAGAGTAAAGTAAGGAGTTTTAAGATGTTGGAACGGATTTTGGTTCAGAGGACTTGGAAAAGGAAAATGACAAGAAGAGATTGCTGTCGGGAAGTAGGATAAAGCCACGTGGTGTACCAACAGGAAACATGAAAACACCTGAATACGGTGCTGAAATATGTTGATGACTTACCCATTATCATGAAAAATAGCAGTTACGAAAAACTATTTGAACTATTAAATAATGCCAATAAAAGGATCATATTTACAATGGAAAAACCTACAAACAATACTATAAGGATATTTAGATATCGTAATGAATAATAATCAAATAGAAACATATTGGATCAGGCAAGAAAAATGCAGTGATCTCATATTAAATTATTACTCGAACCACCCTAAACACCAGATTATAAATACTGTTATTAATTTAATTTAAAAAGGGATAAAACTACCGAACATTAAATATGTGAAGAAAGTCAAAAATAAAATATATAATATTTTGGTGAATAATTTTTAACTGTATAAATTTATCAACAAACTGTGGAATAAATATATAAATAATAAAAATAATGATAATACAGAAGATAGTAGCTGATATAAAATACCTAAAAATAATTTCAACATAAAAAGTAATAATACGACTAAGAGAAATATAAATCTTACAATGGATTATTTTAAAGTGTTGGATAGCAAGAAAAATGCAAAGGACAATCAAGATGACACAGAAAAACAAAGCATAAAAATAACAATTTTTTGGTAAGTTCTCATTTTTTAAATGACTAGATAACGAGTGATCATTGTTGTCAATTATGTTTGTTAATTTTTGTTGTAGATGACTTGAGAATGAGCAAATTAGCTTGGAACTGCATTGAAGTAGAATAAATCTTAAAAGTATAGAGACTTATATATTCCTTGAAGACACCATATGTAATAATAACATTTATTTTATACTTTGAAACTTGAAAGAAAACAAACTAATCTCACATGATCGAAGAAACAGTTTAATAATATTGCTAATTGTACTATATCATATCAATGACCATAGTCTCAGTAATCATAATGCAATAGAGCCTTATAAGATGATGAAAAATTTTAAACATTTTTTTTCAGTGTATCTTCTTTATTTATATATTTTGTTGTTTATAAGGAACCTTGATATTGTTTCAAGGTTAAAAAACAACTAAAATAAATAGATAATTAATTATAAACTATTTATTTTTCTTTATACATAATATAAATTAACGCGCACTTACTGAAAGATTCCTATCAACTATCCAGTTAACTTCAAAATCATCGTCATCTTCACCAAATGGATTTATAAGACTTTCTGCCACTTTTAGCCATCCCATATAAAAGAAAAACTGAAAAAAAAAATAATAATAGTAGAAAAAATGGTGATTTATTTACAAAATATATACAAATTGACCAGTTTTATACATGTCTTATAATATGAACTTTCAATTTATGAGGAAAAATTTGAATTTGTTCTCAGAAAAATGAAAATTACATCCAAATACGGATATTTAGTGGAGGACTCAAGTAAGACTTGAAAATGGCATTAGTGTTGCCTGAAAAGTTGAGAGATTTATTTTTTATTATTTATTTTATTAAGATAAGTCTTTAAATGAGGATATTTATTAACTAAAAATAAATTATATGTATAAAAGAGAAACCTTTAGTATAAGATAATAAAATATTTTTATATACATAAAAAAATACTGATAATTTAACAAACAGTCGGAATAAATGGTGCTTCCCTCTTCTACATTATTTTTAATGGCTTCTAATAAAGTTGTTGCTTTTCTATCATTTATTGTAACTAGATTATTTCTATAGAAATTACTTAAAAACTACTAACTTTGTAAAAATTAAAATGAAAAATAACAAATAAATAGAACAACAAAATCTTACTTGAGTATATACTAAGGGAACGGATATCATGTCATATTGTAAAAGATGTCCAGAAATCAATGGAAATGATCTAATTTTTAATTAATTATAATTAATTTGATAATTAATAATAAAAACCATTCTAAAATTAGCAAATTACTTGAAGAGTTGTGAAAACAGGAAAGTATAGATCGATTGGATTCCTCCGCCTAACATACAACGGATCTTTCTCGTCAACATCCAACCACTGGCGTCCAATCACACTGGTTATGAAAAAAGAATATGTTGCTAAGGTGACTACCTGAAAACAAAAAAAAAAAGTTTAAAAAAAATAAAGTTTATTTAAACTTATTTTACACCACAAAACAATTCTATCGCAATACATTTTTAATAACAATAAAAATGAGAGATTTTTATTCTGTTCATTATAACTAGATATGGTGTCTTGATGTTTACATTTATAGAAATTAAGGCTGTTATTCCATTAACATTTTATTTATTTTCCATTTTATCTAGACAATGTTTCGGCCAACACTAGGACCATTTCCAAGTCTTACTTGAGTTCTCCATTAAATCAGTTCCTCAAGAGATGACTTAGGGAATACTATTAAATATTAGGAGGACAGTTTTAATTTGTTCTCAGAAAAATGAAAATGACATCCAATATGGAGATTTAGTGGAGGACTCAAGTTGGACTTAAGTAAAACGGCACTAGTGTTGGCCGAAATGTTGAGAGATTTATTTTTTATTATTTATTTTATTAAGAGTTATTTTTATTATATTAAAAAAATATAAAATAAAAAGATATTCATGACGTGGATAGTGCACTGAGTTCTTTAAGTGAGGATATTTATTAACAAAAATAAATTATATATACAAAAAAAACCTTTAGTTATAAGATCATAAAATATTTTTATATACATAAAAAAATACTGATAATTTACCAAATTAAAAACTAGCTTATATCTATAGAAATTACTTAAAAACTACTAACTTTGTAAAAATCAAAATGAAAAATAACAAATAAATAGACAAAATCTTACTTGAGTATATACTAAGGGAACGGATATCATGTCATATTGTAAAAGATGTCCAGATTTTCCTCTGAAAATGTTGAGCTCATCAATAATGGTCTTGACAGCGAAGTCGTCACGTATCCGTCCTTCCTTCCTAGCTCGAGTCACAATGGAAGCGGCCCACACGATTGGCAACCAGTGTTTGGAATGTTGTGGGAATTTGCTGTTCAAATCGATAATCACGCTCTTTTCGCTCTCTGTCATTAAACCTAAAAATAAAATAAAAATACCATGGATAATTAATTAACTGATAAATTAAGCAAATAAATTATTTATAATGAGATTTTCAGATAACTGCACCGTAACTTAGGGTTACTTGAAACCAATGGGATACCTTGAACTCACTGAGAAGAAGGATAGGAAAGTGGTAAAGCGCTTCAAGACCTATCGCTTTTGCTATTGTAGAACTGTTTATATAATTTCACAATATAGACATAGTTAAGAGATCCACGTATAATTTAAAATCTTTTTTCAGTGGATTAAGTAACCTCATAATAGGTCCTACTGCCTCCCTCCCCCGAATTACAGTATTATATAATTTACTCTTGTAGGTCATTCTCATAGAACTATTGATTGTCATTTTCTATTAATTAATTCTGGGTATTTAAAAAAAATTACAGTAAGTACAGTCAAACTTGATTCATTAAATTCATTTAAGCTCTGAATGGAAAATTAATAATTCTTCACTTATTTTTCAATATATTATTTATGAGGAAGAGTTATAATGTTTCTAGATTTTATAAATCAAAGGCACCTCTTCCATCGGTAATTTTTTATTTTCATTCTTTTAGTCTAACATTTTGAGTTTCTCACCCATCTTTGAAGACAATCTATTTTTTTTATCGGCAACAAAATAATTATTTCAAATATGTTATCAAGAATACATCTATTTATATAAAATTTTAATTTATCTAGTAGTTGATATCTCATTTATATAATAATAATAAAAATAAAAAAAACTTCTTCAACATCGATCTCATTGCCATACAATGCAAGTTAAACTTTTGTCAATTGTTTAAAATATTTTTAAACTAAAAAATAATTTTTTTCAAATATTTGAGATGGATATTTTTCACTATCATATTGTCTAGGATACCTGAGTTGAATTTTATACTAACCCCATCTGCTAAATCATCCTTCTCTCCCCTATATTTCTTTCTTTCTTATTTATTTTTGTTTATTATTCAGTTCTTGCTCATGGACTATTGTTTTTATATATTTGTTAAATTATTTTTGATATGTACATGATGATCGTTAAAATTGTTTGTATCTGTTTAAAGAAAAGTTAATTATATTGAATTTGTCACTCTCTCACAGTGTCCGAACTCGAACTTCCTAAATTTGACTCTCTTTTTATGGGCAATTTATAATGATTAAAACTTTAGAACATAAGTACCTTTGAAATATAAAAAATCAAATATATCAAACAAGATTACTTATGAGGATGATAAGCAGTCATGATTTACAGTCAAGATATGGTTTATTAAATGATTAAAATTAACTGACAGTAAATATAATAACTCAAAAGTCTTAATAAATGAGCCTTTCAGTTGACAGAATAACTAACTCCAATTTTAACATTTTTGATTGGGGATTATAGATTATAGGGTCGATGATCCACAGCTGATGAAAATAAATAAATATATATAACATTACAATTTTTTTATTAATTGAACTTTATATACCATAATTTAAGATACTTACTATAGTCATATTAATAGGTCACCAAACTACATTTTAATAAACTACAATAGCTTCAATCATCTACTATCAAATATTAAAATATTATCAAACCTAATAATGGTTAGGCTGAAGGTATACTCCGAACAAATTTTAACAGATTATAAATGTGGTTTTAGGCCCAATAGGAGCACAATTGATCAGATCTTTGGTATGAGACAGGTATTGGAAAAATGTTATGAGCACAAAATAAATGTACATTCGCTCTTCATTGATTTCAAGCAAGCGTTCGATCATGTTAATAGAGTAAAGTTAACTTCGGCCTTAAAGGAGTTTGGTATTCCCTTAAAATTAATTAATTAAATTAAAATGACATTGTCCACTCAAGAGGAAAAGTTCTCATTGCAAATAGAATCAGCAACAAATTTCATTTCAACGGTGGACTTCAACAAGGTAATTCTCTGTCGGCTGTATTATTTAATTTAGCTTTCCACAAAGCCGTAAAAACAATTGAACGAAGAGAAAATGTGGTAACCCGTAGCTCACAGATTCTCGGATATGTTGATGAACTTTTGGAAGAAGGAACGAGCGATAAGGGATGTCCTCACTGAACTGGTGCCCGAATATAGAAATGTTGACCTACACGAACCGAAGACAAAGTAAATGGTGGTGTCTGTATTTGGAGCAAGAATGTTGGGCGATTTCTATTTTAATGATTATTGGTTTGAAGCAGTTGAACACTTTACTTATCTTGGAGTAAATATCAACTGCGAAAACAAGATAAGTGAAGAGATCAGGGAAACGGATCACGGTAGAGAATAGAGCACATTACGGTCTTGTAAATCTCTTCAAATCACCTCTTCTACAGTAGGTTCTGTTTATTCTTTTTATTCAATATATTTTGATCCCTGTTTTCTTAAATAAATAATGGGATCCTCTATCCTAATAATTTTAGTGATATTTCTAGTGAGAAAATTTATAGCTTTATTCACAGTTCTATATTTCAACTCTGGAATCAACTTACACACTGTCTGTACAGATATTATAAATTTTCCAATTAGAAATATCACTTAATTGACTTTATTTTTGGAAGTTGTCATTGGAGTAAGTCATTCTGTCAACTGAAAAGCTCAAATAATACTTAAACAGAAATACAATTAACAGATAATAAAAATTTCTACAAACCAGCAGCGACGAAATGTTCAAGAGTTGGAAACCTTTTCTTGACACGAGGGCAAATCATGGAAAACACCATCGTCAAGCACAGGCACACGTATCTTACGATTGTCCTCCTCATCAGTCTTCCTCTTTCGTCCTTGAACAATCATTTACTTTAATTGATTTTCATAGTTTATGCATTGCAATGAATTCAATTTTGTTTTTTAAAGCATAGACAAACAGTATATGTACATACTTGCCCATGGATATTCGAAGATACGAATACAGCGATGGGATCAGGCCATGGTATAGTTGTGTACTGGCTCCACCATCTTTGCATTATGATGGAAATATAAAATCCGAGAACGAACGATAATGGAATGAAGTTACTGTAAGTATCACAATATTCCGATATGCTTTCAAAAACCCTGAAATTAAAAAAAAAAAATTATACATTTGTTAAATAATCAATAATACAACATGTATTGATTTATTATGTACTACACAATAAAGATTAATGAATGAAAATAATTTTATTATTCTGAGACTACTGTTTCTTTAAAACAACTTACAAATACAGATATTTAGACATTAATAAGTCCCATATCAAATAATAAATTATTAATCTCTATTCTAAAATTAAAAATGTTAATAAAACAATTTTTTTCTATGATACAGCATTATTCTGTTTCTTTTAATGATAGATCCCATTATCAATAGATGAAAAGAATCATTCAACAACATAAACAAATACATAAAAAATGGGGATTACATCTCAGTTTTTGTGATTACAGATTTGAAGCTATCATTTTTACAAAAAAAAAAAATCCTATAATTCATCTGAACATAATATTAAATGAAGAGAAGGATGGCTGGGGGGATCAGTAAACATAAATAATTACATTTATTTTTATATTTGCTGACGTTTCTGCCCGAAGTTCAGACCTTCATCAGGGCTAAGAAAAGAAACAGATAAGAATAGGTATGAGAAACTATAAACATTGAATAATAAGGAATTAAAATTAAAAAGGTAAAAGGTAGACTAAAAAATTTAGGTAGAAAAAACTTAAAGTAAAATGAAGTAGATAGAGTGAACGTTAAAGTAAAATAAAGTAGGTAGATTAATAACAGTAACAGAGAAATAAGAAATAAATAATAATAACGACAACAAAGTACGGTCTAATGAAATAAACATAATCAAAATAAGGTAACGTAAAAAATGAAAAATGGTAATCTTAGAACAAAATGTAAAACATAGAAAAGGAATATAAAGTTATATAAGGAAATAATAGATACAAACAGAAAATTAAAATATTGTAAAATCTATCAAAATGTACTGACTATGTACAAGATAATAAAAAGTTAAAATAATATAAAAAAGATGAATGAGCGAATGTATCGATATATACAAAATAGAGATGGAGATATGGAAAATAGAGTGACGGGAAGGAAGAAAAAAAGGAGAAAACTAAGATAAGAAAGATAAACAGACCTATTCAATCTGAGAAGCGTGGAAAAACAATATTAAATATTGTAATAATATTAAATGGTACCCCTAATCCTTTCGCCAAGTCAATAAAGTTCATAGGAGTAATACTAGATTAAAAAAAACTCCTATTCACCCAATAAATTACAAAAGAAAAAATAAGTATACAAAGTTTTCCTAATTCAATAAAAATATATAATATATAAACTATCACTCAGAAATTAATTAATTGTGTATTATTCAGTCCTGAGAAAAATCTTAACTTCAACAACAATCATCCCTATTGTACCACAATAACTGAGATGCAATTACAATTAACTACAGGTTATATAAAGCAATGCATTTAATAAATAACTCTTCCCCTTTAATCATACCTCCACGCATTAAACCCATTTATAATTGAAATATTAAATTATACAAAAACAACAAAATATAAACACCATAGAAATAAACATATTCTGCTTTAAAAATAGCCTGTCTTTTATTTTTTTTTTTCTGTCAGTTTATTTTCATACATAAAATATGACTTACTTTTTTTGTTCTGGCTGAAGTGCAAATCTGTATGTGAAACTTAAAGAGTAATATAGAGTTAAAAATGCAGCGAGATCTGGCCAAACTAATTTGTAAATACTCCCTCTCCACCTGGAAAATTAAAATATATATTTAATTACCATTATTAACACAATTCTGAATAATATTTTCTGCAGAATTAAAAATATTATTTCAAGATAACAATATATATATATATAGAATAGAATAGAAGAATCAAAGAATCAACTTTATTCTGGGACAAAGTCCCTTGAGAATAACAATATTGTACATAAAAATTAACATAACACCTGGCTAAAATGTATATTACAATAAAAAAACACACAAAAAAAAACAACTAAAAATAAGTAATAACAGAAGGATTTACATAACTATACTGATATATTAAAGACATAATATGAGCAATAAGGTCCTAATACTGCAATATAGTTACTAAAAATAATAAACTACGGAATTTTAAGTGAGATTTGGAATGAATGACAACTTACTTTTGTTGTTATATCATTGTTGTTATATATATATATATATATATATATATAATATATATATATATATATATATATATAATATATATATATATATATATATATATATATATAACAACAAGCTAGGAAGAGTTTTGAGTTCAGTACTTTGCTAGGAAGTACTGTTTCAAAGCCAACGGCCAGGTTTTCCACCTTAATTAACTATTTAATTAAGAGGACCCACTTTATAGAGGCTGGGTGTGCCCCAGTACGATCTCCCCAATGCCAGAGTCAATATATATATATATATATATATATATATATATATATATATATATATATATATATATATATTTATATATATATATATATATATATATAGGATGTTTTAGGATTAAGTGGCCAAACTGCAAAAATGAACTAAGGACCTCAAAATAAGAAAATAATTTCCTCTGAAGGTAGGTCCGCAAACGCTTGCGAAATATTCCCACCTAAAGATTTTCGTTGTTATGAATTATTTACATTATATGAAATAAATACAACTTATTTATTTGTTCTGACTACTTTATTAACTAAACTTAAACGTTAAATTCATATTAAATGTTGTTCAAAGTGATTTCCTTGAGCATTAAGACAGGATCGGCATCTTTCTTCAACAGCAGGAGTGGCAGAACGGCACTGGATATCTGTTATTGTTTCACAAGATTCAATTATACTTCTTCGTAAGGAATTAAGGTCATTGACCAGACTTGCATAGAGTTTTTGTTTAATGCCACCCCAAACAAATTATCCAAAAATACAAGTTATCTGGCAATCTGATTACAAAGATTACTAGTTGGTATCTCAGTGCCAGCGGACTATTAGCTCTGGTATTAATCCCTCTTTCTCTCCCCTGGTCCTGATAAAAAATACATTGGCTACAGATTGAGGAATGGGAGCAAAAAAGTATAAATCTATATCCCTATTACGATTTTACAAAGTATAATTATTAAATTACAATGTAACATAACATTTAAAAATTTTGACTAGCTATGATACATTTTCATTCTGCTATGGATTTGGAAATAGAGGATAAAAATTATTAGAATTACTTATGTTTTTTTTCGAACTATAAATTATAGACACTATACTTATTTACATTTCATTGTGGGTATTTGTATTTGTTTAAATATCTTTACAAATTTTAATTTTTATATCGCTGTAATCTATAGAATTAAATATTTAATAATACCAACGATAGCATGTATGAAAACTGCATATGTATATGTACATAATATTGTCGGAGTCTGTATTATATAAAGCTCATGTTAGGTATGGAAGCTTGTTATAATCTTTCGGAGGAGCTCGGGTTTGCTTGTGTTCCTTTGGTTCTTCCATATCAACCATTATACATTACGATCTTTTATATCTCCTTTAGTTATTTATCAAATTTTTTCATATTTTATATTTGACTATTTTATATATTATAAATTAATGTGAAATGGTTAACTATTTCAAATAAAAAAAAATAAATGTACTTTAGAGGAAGATAATATTGAAAATTAGCCATTTAAGCCCTATTAAAGAACAACAAAAAGAATAAAAACTACATTATTTTAAAAACTCCTTAATGATACACTGATATACCAAGTTTAATCTAAATCGTTAGAACCGTTTTTGATAAAATCGTAAAAATGTGTTAAATCAATTATATAAAATGGCACTTCCGATAAGTCGATTTTGACGAAAAAGTTGCTGTAACATCCAAGGTATAAACAAACCTAAAATATGAAATTTCGCTTTCATACAGCTTTTTGTTTTTGAGCTTGACTCCTTGAACAGTGAAAATTCCTTGAACAGTATTTGGACTCAGGAGACCTCAAAACTTGTATTTCAGTTGAAAAGTCAGATTAAAAAAATTTTCACGATCGCAATACTTACCCTTACTATATATCGCTTATATAGGTAAGTAAAATTGATAAGATAGATAAGAAAGAAATACGCCAACATATTTCCTAACCCTAAATGGATTAATCAATAATAAAATATATCAATATTACGCCCAAATATAGCCAGAATTTTGTTTCCTTTAATTAATTAAAACCTTATCTACAGACTCAGGGTTCAAGGATCATAAAATTTACCCTTACCGAGACGTTCTTGAGGGTTTTACGACGTTGAAAGAGAGTGGTGTGGAAAATGAGTCAGCAAAATTAATTAAGAAAAGTGAATTTTTTTAATATTAAAATGGAAAGGGATTGTAAGAGTTCCTAATCGGGATCTATATATCATAAGAAAACATCAGTTATAAGTCTGTTTTAATCTTGCCTTATATCAGAAAAAACACTATAAGTTTGCCAATAAAATAAAACCAACAAAACTTCAACCCACGAAGAGTCTTGTTTTTAATATTTTATAAAGAGGTACTGTTTCTAAGTCAACTGTGCAGGAAGGTGATTCGTCCATGATCACGCTCATTATTATTATTATTATTTTTACTTACACTTCTATATATGTAATATATAGTAAGGATAAGTATCGTGAACATTTTCAATGGAAATTCACGTTTTGAGGTCCCATAAGTCCAAATAACCAAGTCCCGCAAAATGGTCTGTGTGTGTATGTTTATGATCAGTCTAGCTCAAAAACGAAAAGCCGTAGGAATCTGACATTGCGTATTTGAAGTTTTTAT